TTGGCGCAAAATTCAGTTTTAATGGCAGTTTTGATTTCTATATGCCTAGCCGGTTCAATTTGGTTGCCTTATGTTGTGGGAAAAACAGTCTTGTTGGTTAGTATTTCTGTATTGCACATGTCCCGGAATGAGATTCTATAGTTGAAAAAAAAAAAAACCAACCAATTAATTAATTCATTCATTAGGTGAAACCATTAAACGTGATACATCTTCCTTTGTCTCTCTTACGATATTTGACTGATCCGGTGGTTGACCTTGTGATTGACACTACATTACCATGGATATGGTCACTTATCTTGCCGATACTAAAATCAGGATGGAGTGCGGCCAAAATATTGTTTCCAATAGTTAAAGATTCATCACTTATGACCTATCTACAAAACATAACAGACAAGACACAAGACCTAGTAGTTTATTCGGCATCTTTCATGACTGAATTCTCTCCCAATACCTCTATATCAACATTGCAAAATATTACCTCCATCGAAAATACCAGCATGCAACATGTTACCGAGTTTCTAAAAGGTCATAATTTAACTGTTTTGGTAAGAATCCTCGAACGATGTCATGGATTCGCTTACGGGAATACCCCGACGGACAAAATTGTGTGTATTCTTTTTGGATACACGATAGTTATCCTTGTATGCGCATGGTACTTGACGCGCACGAGAAATGCATATGGGCGTACTTTTGGTCGTGCATTTCAAGAATTGTTAAGGCAACAAGGGATTGTTTTGAAGGTGAGTAAGGTTAGTTTGATTACGTTCATCTAATTTCATTCAACTCATCTTCAATCTTTCATAGGTCGCATTTTTTGTGGCCATCGAATTGGTGATTTTCCCCATAATATGCGGTATTCTACTGGATCTTTCGACGCTACCACTTTTTCCGGAGGCAACTCCGTCGACTCGTATCGATTTTTATTTCGAGTCACCAATCACTTCGACATTCCTTCATTGGTTCACGGGAACCGCATTTATGTTCCACTTTGCTGTTTTTGTTTCCTTGTGTCGTGAGATTGTTCGTAACGGCGTGATGTGGTTCATACGCGACCCTAATGATCCACAATTTCACCCAATTAAGGAAATATTGGAGAGACCTGTGTGGACTCAGCTCAAGAAGATTGGTGCGAGTGGCATTATGTATAGCGCTATGATTGTATGCGGGCTTGGAAGTGTCATTTATTTTATTCGATACGCTTTCAATGGTATCTTGCCTTTGAATCTCTCCTTCACGTATGTTACCTCATTCCGTTTCGTTTTTTCTGTGTTCTGTAATTTTAACATATTTTTAAAATGCCAAATGAATATTTTTTCGTTAT